AGAAGCTGGATTAATCGTACGAAACAACCAGAGCCGGTGGTCCTGCCCTGCGCTCCCTGTAGCGAAACCAGGTACAGGTGAATTTCGCATCACGATCGATTATCGACCGGTTAACCGGATGACAGTGCCCCTGGCCGGGGCTGCACCAAACCTGACAGTGGTGACGCAGTCCGTCCGGGGTGCTTACGGGTTTGGAGCATTCGACTTTTACAAAGGTTTCTGGCAGATGCCTCTTCACCCGAACAGTAGAGAGGTGTTCAGCTTTGTGACCGAAGACGGCGTTTTCATGCCGACGAGGGTGCCTCAAGGTGCGTCCGATTCGGCCGTGCATTTCCAATCGCAGATGAATGAGGTGCTGAAAGATCTTTTGTTCCAGAGCGTCCTCGTGTGGATTGATGACGTCCTCGTGTTCTCAGAGACTGCTGAGGCATATTTGGGCAACCTCAAGCGATTTTTCGCCATTCTACGCAGCCGAAAGCTGAAGCTCAACGCTAAGAAATGCAAGCTCTTTGCCAAACGCGTGAAGTGGTGTGGGAAAATGCTTGACGGTGAAGGGGTTGAGCATGACCCCGACCGCCTCGCTGCACTCAAGCAGATGCCACTACCACCTACTGGGGCAGCTCTGCAACATTTCCTGTGCGCTCTCAACTGGCTTAGGGACTCGATGGTTGACTACGCTCGCATTACTGCACCACTATACGAAAAACTGGAGAAAGTTATGCGCACGCGAGGACGTCGCAAAGCACAGCTGAGTGGTGCATCTCTCGAGTGGAATTCTACGGAGGCTGGAGCGTTTCGTGAGACTCTAGCGATGATTGAGCGATCCAGCAAGCTAGTGTTCCCTGACAAAGCTGCCACAGTTTGTATGTTCACGGACGCGTCGCTGACAGGTCATGCGTTGGTTTTGACGCAAGTACGTCGTTGGCAAGATGACATCCCGGTTGAGGACCAACTGCATGAGTTGCTCGTTTGTCGTGGTGGTCTTTTCAAGGGTGCCCAACGGAATTGGTCCATCGTTGAGAAGGAAGGGTACCCGATCGTGAAGGCTTGTGCCGAGCTGGACTACATCCTCTTGCGCGAGAAAGGTTTCCGTGTATACTGCGATCACTCTAACATGATTAGGATTTTCTCTCCGGAGCAAGAAGTGAAGCAACATGTAAAGGGGAAACTGCAGCGATGGGCTCTCACCTTGGTCAGCTGTCGCTACACCATTCACCACATCGCCGGTGAAAAGAACCTGTGGGCGGACATCGTGTCCAGGTGGGGGCAGCCTGTAGCAAGTGGTGACCCGCTGGCAGTGAAGAGGGTCACAACACGTTCGTCGCAAGTGCTCTCAGAGCTACGTCCACTGCAAGACGACCAGTTCACGTGGCCAACCCGCACAGAGATCGCTTCCGCGCAGCGTCAGTACGCGGGCGATACTCCCGCCGGTACGAACGCTGTTGATGGTGCCCTGGAGTTGGATGGTAAGGTGTGGCTGCCCAGTAAGGCAAAAGCATTGGTGAAGCGGTTACTAGTGATCGCCCATTGTGGCGCCCAAGGGCACCGCGGCGTGCATGTTATGGTGGAGCTACTGGATCGTCATTTTGCACTGGCAAACACTCGCCAGACCGTCCTCCGATTCATCAACACGTGCCTGCTGTGCAAGCACGTGAAGGGCGGCAAGGTGATCATGCGTGACTGGACTGTGGACCAAGCCGTGGCTGGACGCAATGAGCGCATGCACATGGACTATTTGTTTCTCGGTGAAAGTTATGGTGATGCTAAGTACGTCCTCGTATTGAAGGATGAGCTCACGCACTACTGTGAGCTCATCGCCGCCGACTCTGCCGACAGTTCGACAGCAGTTGAAGCATTGCTGGATTGGCACAAGAGGTTCGGATTGCCATTGGAGTGGATGTCTGATAACGGAAGCCACTTTAAATGCGAAATTATGGAGGGCCTAGCGGAGCGACTCGGGGTGAAGCACGCGTTCGCTCCTGTGTATACTCCCTGGATAAATGGAACAGTCGAGCGGTTGAACCGCGACATCCTACAAGTAATGAGGGTTCTCCTGCTTGAAACCCAGCTAGATACCCGCAACTGGCTGCACTTACTGCCCCTCGTACAGGCCAATCTGAACCACAGCCCA